ACATCCAGCGATGGTGGAGGCGGCGGCTACACATATCAACGAACCTTTTGAATCCGAAGATGTTTTCCAAACCACGGAGGATTCGCTCCCGACAGCCGTTCAACGCGAGATACAAACGCAACAGGGTCAAGCTGCGTTGCAGACGCACCTGGGTCCGCTGAGCCAAAAATATATCGAGGCAGTTCTACGCGGACCGCATACCAAAAGGTGTGGTACATACGGTGATATAGATTTTACGTACGGTGTTCATCTCGACAAGGATGGAATGAGGCTCGGTAGTAAACGGTTCGACGTGGACAGCGATGATAATATAATTCTCGATGGCGTGCGATACAAAGGCACACCTGGTCTTTACGAGCTGATTTTCAAGAGACTTCCCGACGATGAGAAGTACACGACGGAGGATCTACAAAAGTACAAGAGTATACTTCTGGCAACAAATGTGCACAAGCGCAATTACAGCGTGGAAGGTCAAAAACTTGGTACTGGGGGTACAAGTACAACCATATAATCGCACCGTTAGTGTCGGACGATGGGATAAAGACCCGGTCCAAGACGAAATCTGGAAAAGGATTACCTCGCGCTATGACGCTAAACAACAATGCGATTGATTACGTGCACTGGGATGATCCCAATGAGCTTGTGGACCGCCTACGATTGCTCGACGCTTCGCGCCGAGCCAGTCACAACGCGCATGACAACGAGATGCTGTCCATTATCGAGGAACTTCGTGAGGCTGGTTTTATTGTAAATTAACTCGAGTATCAACGAATCAGAAACATGTCTGTATGTCGGAAAAAACGGGTCTGTAAACGGGTCTGTATGTCGGAAAACGGGCCTGTAAACGGGTCTGTATGTCGGAAAACGGGCCTGTAAACGGGTCTGTATGTCGGAAAACGGGCCTGTAAACAGGTCTGTATTTCGGAAAACGGATCTGTAAACAGGTCTGTATGTCGGAGCTGTTAGAAAACATATATCGCACGATACTCTTTTCGCGCATACCATTACACCAACGATCACACCATCGAGACATGAGACCGTCAAAATCGAGTGGACGTAACGATTCCGAGAAGCGAAGACTCGTCGAGGAGCTGCATGCCCCGGCGAGAAAGAATTTTCCCCGGAGACACGTCATAGTTCGAGGATACGATGATCTGTGGCAAGCCGACCTCGTTGACATGCAGGCGTACTCACGTTTCAACAGAGGCTACCACTACATACTTACCGTCATCGATGTGTTGAGCAAGCACGCTTGGGCCGTGCCCCTCAAGATTAAAGGCGGAAGCGAGACGGCTGACGCTATCGCTGAGATAATTCGGGAGAGCGAAAGATGCCCGAGAAACCTACAAACTGATAAGGGGAAGGAATTTTACAACACCTACGTGCAACGACTTTTGAAGAAACAAAACATCAATCTCTATTCCACATATTCCATAATGAAAGCGTCAGTCGTCGAGCGGTTCAATCGCACGTTGAAGAACGCCATGTGGAAGATGTTTACACTCAATGGAAGTTACAAGTGGACGGATTTATTGCCGCGACTCACAGCCGAGTACAACGCGCGCAAGCATCGCACCATCGGTATGCGGCCCGTCGACGTCACCCCCGCGGTTGCCAACAGGCTCCTGAAAACGGTGTACAGCCACGTAAAAATCGCCGGTCCGGCAAGGTTCAAAGTGGACGACGCGGTACGCGTTAGCAGATACAAGACGATATTCGAGAAGGGTTATACGCCAAATTGGACCACCGAGGTGTTTAAGATCGTTACAGTACAACACACCAATCCCGTAACGTATCTACTCCAGGATTATCGCGGAGAACCCGTTGCAGGAGCGTTCTATGAGTACGAGTTGCATCGCGCCACTAACCCAGATGTGTATCTTGTGGAAAAGGTACTGCGCAGGAAGGGTGACAAGGTTTATGTGAAATGGTTGGGATTCGATGGATCGCATAACTCGTGGATAGACAAGAACAATGTGGTTTAATTTTTAAAGAATGTATTTATTCTATTAAACATGTATATGAATATATTAAATACATAATATATAGTTGTGTCATTTATTTTACATGTGAAAAGACTTATTACTATCCTATAATAAACAATAATACTGTGAATATATTATAAAGGTATTCGGTAATGTCCCCATGGCAGCGTTTCTGTAGAATCGGGCATGATGTATCGTTTGTCGTCGTACGGACTCAGAGCGATTTTCGTCTCGGCTATAGTGTACACCTCATGCAGTTTCGATCTTATACCAGTTTGTCGGCAAGTCATTTCTATCTCGTCTCGCAGACAATGCGTGTAATCATCGAATGTTATCGTTCGCGCTACCACGTTGCTTTTGACACCTTTAGCCTTCTTCGTATCTTTCTTACCATCGACTCGCAACGCGTACATTTTCGCTCTGAGTCCGACGAATTCCGTCATTATCGCACCATTATTCTCGTCTTTCATTAGACCGGGGACTTTCTTATTTACTAGCG